AACACTGAGAAGACGATACCGCACTTGCACGCCAGACAATGCAACCCCTGACGCATCAGACCAGTTAGCATTGCTCCACAGAAATCACAGAACGTTAATGTCATGTAGTTTTTCACCTGAAATCATCAAACTTTGCAAAGGAGAATGATGGTATGTCAGGCATTTGAAGGTGCAGAAAAAAAACTAAATTGACTGCGACCTCTAAAACATGTGGGCGAGTAGGTTTCTCATTTCGATCCACCACAATCACTTCCACAATACAGCCATTATTCTGGAACACAAATTGACTACGAAAAGACACGAAAATTGCCAGAAAAAACAGTTTTACAGAGGGACAGATAGTTTTACAGTGGGCTTCTATTGAAATACTTTCTATCGGCTACTACAACAACCCAAAATCTCTTTTACGACTGTTTTTGCTGGAGCAGCGCCGCTAAGCCGATGAACATTCCGAAACGGTGTGCCCATCGAGTCTTGGAAGTAAACCAATTACTTACCAGCTGCGATACGGAAGCGATGTGTTGTAAAACACTTGGTGAATCGTAATCATGTCGGAATAGGTGCAGCTCACTTTCACCAGGGCTCGTTCGCTCAACCAGAGCACGAGCTCGCCGACGTAACGATTCGAACACCTAAACTTCAGAAAATCCATCAGGAGACATCCACTAGGCAGCGACATTTTCTTAATTTACCTGAGGCTCATCGTTCCTTTCTAAAATCACCATCTCCTTGTTGTTACCATATTGTAGAAAGATGTGTATCCGCGGGTCGCCACTGCTATCTGATTGCATTTCTGAAGGTATATTGAGGTAAATTCCAGCAGGAAGAATCTTTACGGGAGCCCGTTTAATGGCATGGTGGACTGGTCTCAAAATATCGAATCAACAAAGAAGGATATCAGACAAGTAGGTGGCAAAGGTGGACAGTACTGTCATGTGGGTCGTACATAAGAAACACATTCAAGTGATTTGACGATGGCCAAGTAAAACTGCATGCATGGTCTACAACGACATCGGAATATCCTGTCGTTAAAAAGATTTTGTCTTGTAACAATACAGTATACGGATTACCTGATCTGCTTCACAATATGATAACTATAATTACTGACTATCCCTATTAAACGCTTCAAAGAGTACACGTTACTCCTTCAGTTTACGTTGGAATAATAATGAGATTTCACTATTCTGGAGAGTCATAGTGATATACGCAGTTTGAAGAAATACGGTTTTCATCAAAAATGTACGGCATTAGGTAGTTTTTCTGAGCAAACGTTGAACACATGACAGAAGTCTCTCGCAGGTACAGTTCACGACAAAATTGGTTTCCAAAATGGATTTTTTGTGATGAACTGTGACCCTACAAGGATAGCCAGAGGGATGCTGCCGACTCGAAAAACATTCAAGGTAGGGCGTATCAAGAGCCCCCAAAACAGAATAAACCCGCTTCTAACTTACTGTGGTCAGCTGTGCCCAATGTCATAGTCATTCACTATAGTGGACTATCAATCTCACTACTCGTCTTGATATAAACACCAAAAATCATCGAGAATTTTGCCTTTGAACACGGATCAGTTGTTGCGATCTGGAAGTTTTCATACATTACTGCTGAGTACCCGTAGGTTGCACCAAATTTGCGCACTGCAGAAATACAATATGGGTTTTTTTT